GCAACAAGCACGTGCTTGCCGTTCCTGGTGACAACATAACATAACAATTGATTTGCTGATGAGCGGGCTTCAGCTTGTCCTTTAGCTTCAGCATGTCTGGCTGTGCAATTCGTCAACACAGTGCTATGGCAGACGAACTGATAAGTTCGCAGGCGAAAGGCTTTGCTCTGCAACGGAATCGGCAGCGCGACTTCTAGATCGCCTTACGCGTATGCACGTGTGTCCACACTACTCCAGGCCCAGGAGCTTGATCAGCGTGGCTTCGTCCAGGGAAAGGTCCGCATATCGGCTCGACTGATCCAGCGCCCGGCGCGTCACACGGCTGTCCTGGTCGCAGCCAAGGGTATTGTGGGACAGGCAGGAAGGAGTAAAGCCCAGAAAGCTGTTATTGGCGTGGTCCTCCTGTCTTTGCTGTTGGGGCGACCTACGGGGCCTTCAGCGCCCACGGGCTTGGCCTTCAGCCTGGAGCCGGACTGCTAGATCTACAGGGCTGTAGATCTCTGCGAGTTTAAGATGAGGTTCTCTTGGGTTCTCGACGCAGGATTGCGGCGCAACTTGCCCAAATCTTCGGGGAACCAAGAACGTCCTTGACAGGCACCACGGTTGTAGGAAGGACGGAGCTTCGAGCTTGGCGTCCTGCGAAAGGGCGGGCATAGATGGCATAGATCCTAAACCTTGTTCAGACTCAGCATGCCATCAAACGTTCAAATTCTGTCCCGTACATCTTTATGACTATTACCATCAGCACCAGCACTGCCGTCACCAGCAAAAGCGCGACCACTGTCACTACCACCCACGAGTCCTTCCAACAAGAATTTCTGCGAAATCTGAGCGAAATCTTGCGAGCTCTGTCGGAGCCGTCCCGTCCAAGACCCTTAAAACAAATCAGCAATTTTTGGAAGTCTGCGAGAAGCGCCTGATCGGCTGGCAGCCACAGCTGCTGCAGCCACAGCTCCACCGGCAGCGAGAGCCTCGCTTCCCGCTGGGCGGGGCCCCCCCCCTTTTGGCAGAGATTCTAGGGAGGCATCAGGGAAGGCATCAGGGCAACAGGAGGGTGCATCTGGGAGTCCACTGAAATTTAAGGTTCTTGGGGAAGGGATTCCCGGTACTGGCCGGGCCTCGGGGGGACTGAGCTTTAAAGGGCACCCCAAGCCAAGCCATGTCTGGTCCAGGCACCGAGAAGGACGAACTGCTGGCGGCTTGAGCCTTGCGCAGGCTGGGCTTTGGGAGCTAACTTGAAAGGCCGAAGGCAACCCCCTTGCCTGCACCTGGGATGTGGAGGTGCCGCGGAGGCTGGGCGCACTGGCCTGTCCGATAAGGATGACTGCTTCCGAACTTCCTCATCTCACATCTTCTGGCTAACTTCTTCGTCTCACTCTCAGTTTGCCGACAACCATGACCAGAGGGATGAAACTCCCTGAACGGAAACCAAGGGCACCCCGACTCAGAACCACAGCCGAAAAACGAGGCCGTGGACCATGCACTCAAAACTCTGAATCGCCAGACTGCAAACGAGACGTCCCGAAATTCTCGGGGTTCAGCCAGAAGTGCATGGCAAAGTCACTACGTACAAGCTCGGAATCAACAAACGGAAACAGGGCAAGACTGAGATTGGGTAGTAGGATGAGATATGTGCCTTCTTTGACCGGGCCTTGATGCTCAAGGGAACTCTACACTCCCACCATCCTCAAACCAAGTCTGCAGCCTCTCGGGGTGCAGCGACGAAGGCATCGGCAGCGCTGCCCAGCAGAGCCAGGCCGCCTGCAACGAAAATGGTCTGTCTGTCTAGTTGCAGGGCGGTTGTTTACAGGAGTTTTACACGGCTTTGATTATCCGACATTCAAGAGGGCAGTGCTTCCAGGACACTCGCTCTTCGCACAGCTTTACAGTAACTTAAATCTAGCCTTGGTCGGCTTGCCCCGCCTTGCGACGTGCATCTCCTTCATGCTCAAATACAACCAGAACACATCCCAACATCTCGTCTTCAGCAATCAAAAAGAACCCCCTGCAGCCCCAGGTCAATCGCTAAGCAAACCCACTACATGGAGTTCTGGTATCCGTCTTGGCTTTTGGCACTTGCTGGTGCTGATGTGTTGGCAGTTACTGTCATGTTGCTTTTCGTGGTATCATGGTTTTCAGGCCTCTCGAGGAATCTTTTCGTTGCCAGGTTTCCGGTGCGAGAAACGAACTATACGGACATGCACGCATGCACACGGATGTACACACACACACACAGAGACAGAGACAAACAGACGGATTGCTCCACGGTGCCTGCAGCTGCCCCAGCAAGGGCAATGTTGGATGGACGCTTGGCCATCTCAAGAACGCGCTGCGGGACGCGGAAAAGGGGAGAAATATGTATCGACTGTATCGACCCAGTGCAGCGGCTGCGGGATGCAAGTGCCTTCCAGGCGATCGGCGGATTCAACGCGAAAGACTGCAGAACGACAGAACTTATCTCCAAGTTTCGCAACCGAACACTCGGCCACTCGGCTTTCTTCGCTTTTATCCTGCGCCGTTGCAGCTTTGTCGCGAGGCCTGAATTTCCGAATTTTTCCAGGTGCTCTTCGAGCCCTGTACCGTCTGCCGGGAAACCTGGAATCTCAATTAAAAGACTTAGTTTGGGATAACTGTCTGGCGCCTGCACTGCAGCATCTTTGGGTGTATGGCCGCACTTTCTCACATATCTTTTGAAAGAGACAGGCAGATGCCAGGGAGAACTGACGGGAGCGCTACCGTCTGCTTCGAGAAAAATCCTCTTCATGAGCGAGAACAACATCGCATATGTACCAGAGTCCCACAGACCTTTATGACAACACCGCTCGTCCAGAGGAGACTGAGGCGACTGACCTCAAAACTTTGCACAGCCTGCAGAAGCCAAAACCTGCACGTCAATCCTTGCATTAAAAGCTGCTGGAGCCATGCACCCAAATGCTCGCCATCGGGCACCGGATCCAGGAAGCTGACCGAACCTCACGGAAGAGGGGGGGAAAAAGGCCCTGAGAGCGAAAAGTGCTGTCTTCCAACTTGAGTGCAAAGGACCGGACAACACCAAGGAGCGTACATCCACTTTACGCCTTCTTGGCCCAATCGAAGCTGGCCGCCTGCACGGAGGACTCACCGGTGTAACCGAGCTTCTCCTTCCAGCCTGGGTAGATCTGGTCGGCATCCTTCTG